AGTGTGCTACAGACTACTCATCAGGGTGACAAAGTGGTCTTGAAATTACTCTTGAAGTAACTGTGCCATAAAATCTTCTTTCTCATGGTGGCTTTACCCTCACTGGCCTTTGCTCAGAGGGCAAAATAACACGACACAAGCAGTCAAGATTTCTGGATGGTATTGAGCATAACCTCATGAACAGATACTGGATACACCAACCAGGGATGATGAGCAGTTGGATCTGCTGTTCCCTCAAAGGGAGGAACAGGCTGGAGATGAGACAATCAAGGGTATCTAGGCTGTAGAGATCATACTATTAGAGATGTCAAGATCTTGAGCAGAGCATGGAAAGAGAGCAGGACTTCAGATGAGCAGATTTTGGCTTATTCAGAGATTTGGTAGATCATAGATGGGCATGCATGGTAGACAACACTGAAAGACGAAGCTGCTCATGAAAGCTGGGAGACCTTCAAGGACAGCACCTCCACGTGCAAGAACACTCCACTGTGGTACCCATGGAGAGAAGCAGACATACTGGAAGCTGGCTTGACTGAGCAGGGACCTCATAAGAGGACTCCAGTGCAATAAGACAACATACAGGACCTGGAATTAGGGACAGGCTAGAAAGAAGGAGTTTAGAAACATTAGGCTGGCATACAGGGTTGGTACTAGGAAAACCGAGATCTAATTAGGTTCAGAAAAGACATGGGAACATCAAGGGCGACAAGAACTTCTGCATTAACAGTAAAGCACTGAACAAGAAAATATCCCACTGCTGAATGGGGCAGGTGGTTTAGTGGCAGGAGGCACAGACAAGGCTGAGGTACTCTCTACCTTCCTTCCTGCTTTTGCTCAGTGTTCACCAGTGAGGTCTCCGAAGCCTCTGTGCTGAAGAAGGACTGTTCCAGAAGGAGAATGGCCAGCAGTAGATGAGATTGAGTTGGGGATTACCTGAGACAATCTGATAATTCTGTTCGATCTGTTGAACTGCAGCTGAGGTGGCGCCTTTGGCAAGGCCATTCTCTGTCATCTTTGAAATGTCAAGGAGGCTGGGGGAGATCTCCAACCACTGCAGGAAGGCAAATGTTACATGCATTTTCCAAGACTTCAGAAGGAACAAATGCATAAACTACAGACTGGGGTTGGCTTTATTTTGGTGCCAAGGCAAATCAGAAAGTGATTTTTCTGGAAACACATTTCTGAACTGAGGAAGGAGAAGGTGACTGGAAACAGTCAGCTTGGATTCTGCTGACTTTTAATGTGACTGCTTCTGGTGATAAAATGACTGGCTCAGTGGACACAGATGACATTTGCCTTGACTATAGCAAGGCTTCTGACACTGTCTCCTGCAATGTTCTTGTACCCAAGTTAGGATATCCCAGTCTGCATGTAAGGAAAACCAGTAAACAACCGGTTAGATAGTCAGGCTCAGAGGGCCATGGTTAATGCAATTGTACTCTGCCTCGAGGCTGGTAACAAGTGGTGTAGTGCAGGATCTGTCCTGGGACTTGTCCTGTGCAACATCTCTACCAGTGACCTGGAGGAGAGGATGGAGGGCACGCTTACTAAGTTTGCTGATGACACCGAGGGGGTACCAGTTGACACACTGGAGGGCCAGGCTGCATTCTGAGGACCTGGATGGGCAGGAGGAAGGGCCTGAAAATAACTCTGTGAAGTTCAGCTAAGTTGGAGGCTGAAACCTAAACCCAGAGCTCCTGAAGCAATGGCACTTTGTGGCTAGTGGGTCTGCGGAGCAGTTCTGTGCCGATAGCCCTGGACCTTCCTAGGCAGTGAGCTGAGCAGGAGCCAGCAGTTCTGCAGCCAGCAGGGCCAGCAGCACCTGAGGCAGTGTGAGCTGGGGTATAGCATGGAGAGATAACCCTTTATTCAGCACTTGCTGTATCACATCTAGATACGGTGCTCTGTTTCGTGCATAGACAAACAGGAATGAAATCAGCAGAAGCCACCAAGAGGGGGCTGGGGCCCTTGCCCTGTGATGAGAGGCTGCAGTGCTCAGACTGGTTCAGGTGGGAAAAGGGATGGCTATGGATGCACCCAGCAGCACCCCCGGCACTGACAGGAGGAACGGAGGCGACACAGCCAGGGTTTTCGTAGCAGTGCATAGTAGGAGAGCAAGAGGTAGCAGCAACAGCTGAAATACAAAAGGCTCAGGTTGTGGGTAAGGAGAAGTCTTTTTCCTGTGAAGACAGCCCAGCCGTGGAGCCAAGGCCCAGGAGACTGGGCCATCTCCAGCCTGAAAGGTTTCATGCCCCAGCTGGATGAAGTTCTGAGCAGCCTGATCTGACCCCACAGGTGAGCCTGCTCTGGGCTTCTTCTTTTCCCTAACTCTATTGCTGAGCATGATGTCATATGGTATGGAATATCCTTTTGGTCAGTTGGGGGTATCAGCTGTCCTGGCTTTGTCACCTCCTAGCTTCTAGCATGGCAGAGTGAGAAACAGAGAATGCCTTGATAGTGTATAAGCACTGTTCAGCAATAGCTAAAACATCAGTATAATATCAATACTGTTTTGGTCACAAATCCAAAACATAACACCAGTTTAGTGGCCATGAAGAAAATTAACCCCATCTCAGCCAAAGCCAGTACATATACATAGATGGGAAAGGACCTTTGGAGGTCATCTAGTCCAACAACCTGCTTAAAGCAGGTACAGTGAATGCAGTTGCTCGTGAACCCTCCAGTACATTTTTAAATACTCCAAACATGACATTGGAGCCAATGTTTAATATTTCTTAAGGCAAAAAAGGTTTTGCCTTTATCTAGTCAGGTTAACTTTTGTTCAGACTGTGTTCCTTTCCTCTCCTCCTTCCACTGTGCACCTCTGAGAACAATCTGGGCTTTAGGTGTCTCCAGACACCAATAAGACCAAAGGGACCAAATGGGACAGAAGCTGTCCATTCCCAGACTGAAAAGACACAGCTCCCACAGGCTCTTATCAGATTCCCCATGTTTCTGCCTCCAGTCATCTCAGGGCTTCCCTAGGACTTGCTCCAGTATATCAGTGTCTGTCCTGTATGTGGAAACCTCAAGCTGGTGACAGCATTCAGGTGCATCTCACAGGTCCTGGAGAGCGGGGCAGGCTCTCTCTCCAGACCTGCTGGCTGCACCCTTGCTTGTGCGGCCTAGGATGTGGTGGCTTCTTTGCTGCCCAGAGGCACTGCTGCCTCATGGCCAGTCTGGTGTCCCCGAGGGCCCTAAGACCTTTTAACAGAGCTGCCCTTAAACTGTTGGCATCAGCCTGTTCTGCTGTGGGGCTTTGTCTGTCTGATGATCCAGGCTTTGTGTTCGTTTTTGACGTTCATGAAGTTCCTGTCTGCCCACTTCTCCAGCCTGCTCTACGCTTCTGTATAGCTGAATGCATGAATAGTTCCAGTGCATGACTGCCTCCTGCAGTCTGCCACCATGAACTTGCTGAGCATGCACTCTATCCTATCATCCATGTAGCTGAGGAACACATTAAACAGTGTTTGCTCTAGTATCAAACCCAGAGATACAACACTGCTAATCAGCCTCCAGCTGGGTTCTTTGCAACTATTTTGGCCTGCCTGTCCATCCAATTTTCCAACCACCCTTATTTCCCCTTCTAAACCACATTTCATCAGTTTGATTATACGTATACTATGGGAAACCGTGACAAACATCTCACCAGATTTAAGCTATAATATATCCAACAATCTCCTGTTATCCACAGATCAACAGGTGGACTGGCACATTGCTCCCTAATGTAAGCTTAATGACACATGAAGGTAGATACACGTAATTTATATCTCTGGCATACTTGTCTAGTGAAATTAAATGAAGAAAAAACTTCATTTTATTACTTACATCAGTGAAGTTTACATATGTTATATCCAAACTGTCTGATGTTGCTCCTACTAAGGAAGTTCCTGTTGGTTTAATTTGGTGAGAAAAGTTAGAAAGTCATGGTAATGGCAGAAAGTTTAGAAAAAACTTTAAGCAAGAAGTCACACTTTCAGGACAGTTGATACTGATTCGTCGTCAAGGAAAAAAAATACGATTTTTTGCCCACCTTCCTCTGGCTGATTGTATTACAGGTGATAATTCATATTATCCTTGAATCTTTTTGCCTTCATAGTGTTTATTGTCAAAATCAGATAATCTGAAACATATGTGTCAAGTAATTTCCTTACCCATTAATAGGTTTATTTCCCAGAATATGGCTTGTGCCCTCTGTCTGTTCCACTTTAGTTTCTGGGTATAATTCAATGATTTTATTTTAATCTCCAAGGGTGTCCATGAGTTTACAGCAATTTTTGTAGAGATAATTTCTCTCTTTTCAACCTCATGCAAAATCCGTTCTCTTCAGGAATGTGCAAGCTATCAGTCTTCAGGATGATATATGCAGGAACGAACAGTAAAGCTTTTTTTCATGTTTTTCCTGGACTGTGAAATGCCTGAGGAAGAGGGTCCATATTTAGTTTAACAATGTGCACTGTATTCCTTCTGCAGAAACCTGAGTGGAATAAGAGATATTAAGAGATATTTGTCACTCCAATAATGTGGAATAAGAGATATTAAAAGATATTTGTCACTCCAATCTTCAAAAAGGGCAAGAAGGAGGACCCAGGGAACTACAGGCCGGTCAGCCTCACCTCGATCCCAGGAAAGGTGGTGGAGCAGATTATCCGGGAGGTCATCAACAAGCAAGTGGAGGAAAAGAAGGTTATCAGGAGTACTCAGCATGGATTCACCAAGGGGAAATCATGCCTGACCAATCTGATAGCTTTCTATGATGACATGACTGGCTGGGTAGATGAAGGGAGACCCGCAGATGTTGTCTACCTAGACTTCAGCAAGGCTTTCGACACAGTCTCCCATAATATCCTCCTAGGGAAGCTGAGGAAGTGTGGGCTGGATGAGTGGTCAGGATGCTCCAGTTCTGCGGCCCTGTTGGACACTTCCCAGTATGACCACGACTCTCTTGTTCTGGGGAGCTCAGAACTAGACCCAGCAGTCCAAGTGTGGCCTCACCACTGCTAAAAAAGTGGAAGGATCACCTCCCTTGACATGATGGCCACGCTTTCCCTAAGGCAGCCCAGGATATCATCAGCCTTCTTTGTGGCAAGGACATATTGCTGGTTCAGGCTCAACTTGGCATCCACCAGAATCCCCAGGTCTTTTTCTGCCAAGCTGCTCTCCAGCTGGGCGGCCCCCAGCATATACTGGTGCCTGGGGTTATTCCTCCCTAGGGGCACCACTTTGCACTTGCCCTCGGTCAACTTCATGAGGTTTCTGGCAGCCCATTTCTCTAGCCTGCAATCTATTATACAAATAGTGCAGAGCTGCATAAATACTAAAAGTATAAAAATAAAAAAATCTAGTGAAGCTTGATCATCATTTAGGAACCCTAAATGGGTCTTCTACTAGGATTTTTCATCAGTATTTTCCCAAGCTATGCTACAGTGGTTCAGCGTTCCCTTTAAACGTTTTGGGAACGTCCAAAAAGTCCGTTTGTCGAAGGCTGATGAACTTAATTGTGTAAGTCTAAATATGAGGTAGTGTGCTGAAACCAATGCCACAACACAAAAACGCTTCCTGATATAGAACTAGATAACATAATGCTAGAGATTTGATGCCAAAGCTTGCAAGAAAGAAAATGCTACTTCCTCATTCAGCATCTGCTTCAGATTATTTTACATGGAAGTCACTGCTGCTCTGAAGCTGTCAAGGCACAGTCAGCTTCCAATTAGGCTATCTGATCTTTGAAGTTGATTGGAAGCAAAGCCTTCTCCTCCCTATAGGCACCCCCCTAAAAGTAGGTAATCTGATATAACTTCCAAATGTATTTATTCTGTGTTGTCCACCCAATTAAACATCCTGCACAAATGCAATCAACAAGCCTTCTCTCTAATTGAAAAAGTTTGTGCAACAATTTTCATGAGACTCCCATTAAACATTTAAAATAATTAGCTATATTAGAAAGACATTTGTATTCAAATAGCTCACACGCCTAGTTTCTTTGTTTAGCGTAGGCAAATGAATATGAAAATGATCCTCAGAGGAAAAGACCAAATATTGGGCGAATCTTTTCTTTGAGACAACAGACACTCCTTAGAAACCAATTCTGCATGGTATTAAACAAGAAATCTTTTAACAGCGGGATTACTACTGTAGCTGATTGTGAAGGAATCAATCATTTCCAAGACTCAAAGGCAATGACAAGGGAGTTAACTCTGTATTTTTAGATATTATAGATAACTCATTACAGTCATTACCTTTAAGCATGCTCCTTTCTTCCCCTTCCCCCTTCCCCTAAATTAGTGGCAGTAAGTTAAAGAAATCCACCTTGCAAAGACACTTGTAACTTTATTTCCATCCTGACACAAGTGACAGTTTTTTTAAAAGGATTTTGATGGCTCTGTATTTGCATCATGGATCTTCTTTAAGAATGATGCTGAGAAAAATCTAGGTCATTGAAGCCTTCTTAAATGGAACCACAGAGAAACTGAAAAAGTGTAAAGGCACTGATGTCAGGCTTACTCTGCCTTTGCACAAGCTCATTCTTTTTCCAGATTGACTGGCAGAAGGTAGATCAACCTTCGGACATCTTTCTTATTCTGAAGTTTCTATTTCCATAAGTGAGTTAATTCCATTCCCATCCAGAACATTTTAAAAAACGTTGTTCACTTGGCAAACAGAGCCAGCTATATAAGAACAACTTCAAGAAGTCTAGGCTTAAAGGGCAAAAGTACAACTTAGAGCAACATATAACAGAAGATATGTAAACATCTTGGTTTAGGATCCTGGGCAGCGTAATAGTTTAATAGTCCCTTCTAGACAAAACTTCACTCTATAAATAAATATATATGAATGTAAACAGTGTTTTTCTTTTTTTCTTTTTCTTCCCTAAACACTAGCTTAGTTTTGGTATGAATCTGAATCCTGAGATCTGCTTTCTTCAGACTAGTCTCCTTCTCTGGAGATATTCAAGACCCACCTGGACAAGGTCCTCTACAGCCTAGTGTAGGTGACCCTGCTTCGGCAGGAAGGTTTGACTAGATGACCCACAGAGGTCCCTTCCAACCCCTACCATTCTGTGATTCTGTGAAGAATGAAGATAAAAATAAGAATGAAAAAGTGTTACATCTCTAATCATAAGATAAGAAATCATAAAATATTAAAAAAATCAGCTTTTCAGCTTGAAAATATTGCAATTTCTTCCTAGTAATTTAGGACTTTTTTTGTGAGAGAGAGACTGAGATGACACGTGTGTAAAGCAAACAATCAGTTGATATGTGACTTACCAGTTGATAGTGAACCAGAAGGCTATTTTGAGGTGAAAGATGTTTTGAAAAGCTACCAAAAATCTTGGCTAAACAGTGCAACACAAAGCTTGAACAACAGTAAAAATACCTGGCGGAGAAGAAGACGCCCACTTTCTTTTAACACAATTTCAACCTCCTGGGCCAGTTTAACAGTGTAAATTCTACCACCTCTTTAACTTTCTGATTTGTAGGCTGTGAACTGTTGCTGAGAGACGACCAGGCCAAAAACTAAAGGAACCTGCTTCTCTCAGCTGGAAAGGCCAAAAAAGAAATATGGGGGCACATGAGTTTTACAAGTCTGCTGTTTTGCAGCGTGAGGAAGGTTATTGTAGCAGTTGTTTCCTTTGCGGGTTCAACACTCTGCTAAATGCCGAAAAGAAATAGATGTGATTTAAATGTATGCCACCATCTTGCGATTGTTGTTTTCTTTAAAAGATATTTTTGAACTTTCCTCCAGTTGCCTTGCCAACAGATTTAAGTTCAAACACAAAGACTGGTAGCTCAAATCCCAAAATACTTATTCCCTTCCCCCGTTGACAGTCATTCTGGATCAGCATAATCAGTATATAGAGCTCTGAGAAAGAGCTGTGAAATGATGGAGAATTTATCAGACTACCAAGGAATGAAATATTTCTTGGTTTTAATAAGATGTCATTTTCTCAAAGCATGGTATGCCTCCTCAAATCAAAACAAAAATACAAATACACTCCAACATATGTATGCAGGAAAATAAGGAAAATCTGATGACCCAAAGAAGTTCTAAACCTGGTGCTCCTGGAGTTCTTGTTTTCCATTAGAATTATTGAGAGGTAAATCTCCTGTACACTGAGTTGCCCATTAAACATTAATATTGGGCTAGCTGTGTTTTAGCATCACTGCCAAGCTGATAGTGGGAGTGATTTTTCTCTTGTTAAAGTATTGTAAGGCAGGAACTCATCCAGGATGACACCTTCCAAGCCTCTTTACTTTATGAGACACTCCTTTCCTTCCCTTTTCTTTCAGATGATGTTTATAAAAGATGGTTGGCATAGGCTCTGCCACATTCCTGGGAGCCTGGATCGAGTTTCTGTCAGTGCCACTGTAGAAAAAATAATTTGTATTTCTCTGTACTACAGGACCGTCTTTGCAGGTTAAGGATACATTTACTTCACAAGGTGGTGTTATGATGAAAAATTAAAGATCAACAGAGTGATTATATTGCCTCTCTATTATGATAATAGAGCAGAAACAGGTTTTCTCTTATTTTCAGCAGAATAAAAAGCCTGCCTTATTTAACCATATTTAGTATTAGTATAGTAAAGTAGATAAATTGACTAAATAAAATCCAATACTCACAACAGAGATATCTCAGCCTATCACCAAAAGTATTCCATGATTTTGGGAGATGTGTAAATTTTAGCTTGTTTTTTCTGAGCTAAGGAGAACATGCTTAGTCTGCAAAACAGGAAAGGAAAGCTCTCCCTCAAATGAATAAAAAATCCACTTGTAAGATTCACAGGACTTCTGCTGTCTAGTTGCTTGGAAATACTCCCAGAACAATCATTTGTGCTTTTGGCTAATTCTGATCTTTTCTGACCCCAGAAATATGGAGAGTGAGAAAAAAATATGTTTGTGAATTTAACACTTCAAAGGACAAATTATTACAAATTTTAAGCATTTTAAGTTAGTGAGGACGGCAAAGTTTACCTACCAGTCTGCAGGTTTTTAATTATGTCTTGTTTTATTCTGTGTTTAGCTTTACAAAGTTCTTCCTTCTGTTATATTATAGTAATTTCTGCAAACATAAAAGATGCTATTACTTAAATGTAGTTGCTTGGTCTATTTGTTTTCTCTTTGAGCTGTGGAATACTGTATCATCTAAGTCTAGATTTTAATATTTTCCCATTGAAACAACCACTTTTGTGAAAAATTATTTGTATTTGAATCTCTCAGGAGTATATTAATTTATAAATTTGATCTCTTTTTCATATTTTATAACTAAGATATTTATTAATCTATTAACCATCAGAACAGGATAGTACAGTTTGAGGTATGACAGAATTTTTGCATGCACCCCTACCAGCTATTTAACCATCCTGAAATTACAGTAAAGTTATTGTCCTAGATGTGCACTCTGATATCTAAAACAAGTAGAGCACATAATAAACACATGAGTCTGAAATGTCCTACCCAAACAGACTTCTACCCCTTTTGTTTTGAGATATTCACTACATTTGCTCAAAAAAATGGGATGTTTAACGTCTTCATTAATGACCTATACAGCATGTACCCTCATCAGGTATGCAGAGGATACCAAAAGGGGACGAGTGGCTGATAAACCAGGAGAGTGTGCTGATCAGAGGCACCTGGACAGGCTGGAGAAATAGGCCTACAGTAACCTCTGAAGTTCGACTAAGGCAAATGCCAAGCCCTGCCCCTGGGGAAAAACAACTCCAGGCACCAGTACCGGTTGGAGGCTGACAGGCTGGAAAGCAGTGCTGTAGAGAAGGACATGGGGACTCTGGTGAGCACTAAGTTGACTATGAGCCAACAATATGCTTTTGGTGCAAAGAAGATCTCCTGTACTGCATTAGTAAGAATGTTGTTAGCAGGTCAATGGACATGATTCTTCCTCTGCACTCAGCCCTGGTGAGACACATCTGAGTGGTGTGTTGGGTGCTGAACTCCCCAGTACAAGAGACACATGGTCATACTGGAGGAAGTCCAGTGAAGGACCACAGAGATAATTAAGATACTGGAGTAGCTGTTGTACAAGGAGATGCTGAGAGAGCTTGGAGCTTTTAGCCTAACGAAGAGAAAGCTCGGAGGAATCTCATCAGTGTGCACAAATACACATTAATCAGGAGATGAGTGAAAAAGAGTGAAATAGACTGTTCTAAGTGGTGACTCATGACTGGTCAAGAGGCAATGATCACAAGGTAAAAGAAACTGAAATTCCATGTGAATACATGAAAATACTTTTTTACATTGAGGGTGATTTTACAGTAATGTTAATGTCTCAGATATGTAATAAAATA